CTCTCTCCGTCACTCAGCCGAGATCCGGTCTCTGCGCGATTCCCTCTCTCTCCGTCACTCAGCCGAGATCCGGTCTCTGCGCGATTCCCTCTCTCTCCGTCACTCAGCCGAGATCCGGTCTCTGCGCGATTCCCTCTCTCTCCGTCACTCAGCCGAGATCCGGTCTCTGCGCGATTCCCTCTCTCTCCGTCACTCAGCCGAGATCCGGTCTCTGTGTGATTCCCTTTCTCTCCGTCACTCAGCCGAGATCCGGTCTCTGCGCGATTCCCTCTCTCTCCGTCACTCAGCCGAGATCCGGTCTCTGCGCGGTTCCCTTTCTCTCCGTCGCTCAGCCGAGATCCGGTCTCTGCGCGGTTCCCTTTCTCTCCGTCACGCAGCCGAGATCCGGTCTCTGTGTGATTCCCTTTCTCTCCTGGACTCCCGTTCACACCCGGACTGGCTCTCTGTGAACTCATTCGCCAGCCTCCCGGCTTTCTGGGGTTCCTCTGGCTTCCGGTCCTTGAGCCACAGCCTCAGGCTGGGTGGACACGCTTCATAGAACTGTTCCAGCATCATCATCTTAAGCAGGTCCTCTGTGGACTGGGCTCCGACCCCGAACACCCACTTGCGGCAGGACTGCGCCAGGCCGGAGGTCTCCCGTGGCCCCTTCTATACCCCCTGGAACTTCTTCCTCTATGTTTCCGGGGTCATCTTGAACTTGTGCAGCAGGGCCTCTTTGACCCGTTCGTAATCACCCGGCTGCAGATCCTCCAGCTGATTGAAAACCCCTGCGGCCTCCTGATCCAGCAAGGGGGTGAGGTGTTGCAGTCGGTCCGCTGTGGGGGATTTGGTGTAGTACATAGGCCCGCTCAAAGGAGCTGTGGAACCTGTCCATGTCTCCCAAGTTTTTACATTGGGCCAACACAAGCTTCTCCAAACGTCTGGCCGCCCCGGACCTCCTGGGGTTCTCCCCACTCACCGCAACCGGGGCCCTTCGGCTTCTCCGCTCCGTCATGGCCAGCTCATGCCACTGCTGCCTCTCGGTCCTGGCGTTCCTTCTCTTGGTCCTGTACCTCCAGTTCCTTCAGCTGCAGCTCGATCTCCAGCTGCCTCAGCTCTGCCGAGATGGACCCTGCCCTGGGCGAACCGCTGCTGGTAGATCGTGGCCTGGTGGGCATCGCGTCTCTCTGGTGGGCTCTAGCCCTCCCTCAGGTCTGAGAGCCTGAGACGCTCCCAGGGGGTGTCGGGCTGCTCCCCGCTGGGACAGGATCCAGGCCCTTGGATGGGTCATTCTCTTCCAGCTGGGCAATCAACTGGGCCTGGGTAGCTTTCCCCCTGGGAAGGCCCCTCTTTCTGCACAGCCCCACAAGGTCTGCCTTCAGGAGTCAGGCGGAGGCCATTGCCCCGCCAATCCCCGGGTGTAGACTCACCGGCCGAGTGCTGCAGCGCTCCACAGCTCCTAGGAATCGCTTCGCTCTGCCTCCAGCATGCCTGGTTCTTGCACGCCCCTTTTCTACTGCTCCTTGTCACCCACTGCTGGAAGCTCCATCCGCGGAGTGCAGTGCACCCCACTCCTGGTACCACTGTGAGGGCGCGTCAGAGTTTCCCCCCAATCCTGCAGCCCTGTAGCAGCAAGAACAGACTCCACCAGCTAGTAGAAAAGAGAGGGCTTATTGCTGCTCCAGGAGACAGCACAGCACAGATGTGATGTGGTTACCGGAGTCTGGGCCAGGATGCCTCAGACCCTTTGAGATGGGGTGCCTGGGCCCTTCGACTCCCAGCCCCCTCTTTAGTTTGTCCCCTTCATGGTTCCAGCGCAAGACTGCCCTTTTCCCCCAACACTCACTTCCTTTGTTCTGTCCCTTCCCTTAACCCGTAGGACCAGTTCGGTCTCTGTCAGTGGTGCCCTCAAGGTGCCCCAAGCTGAGCAGCGCTTACAGACAAAGGCCAGTAGGGGTCACCCACAGCCCAAGCCTAGCAATCAGCAATGTACTGGCACTACATCACACCATGCTAAACTGGTTTTGATGACAAATATTTTGTTTTAATTGATAAATGCTTGCCTTTTTTTTTAGAACCATTGATTTGCCCACTGCTTACATTTTGATGGGGATATGCAGCAATTTTTGGCATTTTCACAATTGTTTTTGGCTTTTTTTAGAAACTTTGGTTCGGTGGCTTTTATACTTATTTTTTATATATTTCTCATTTTTTATACATAACAAGATTGATTTCTTTGTTACAGAGAAGCAATATGCACAT